TCAAGACATGTCTTAAGCAGATTAATGTTCATCAGTCAGTGTTTCCCAATTACGTTTCTTACCTGGCTCATCTCAAAGTCTCGCTTTATTGTAAATTATAGAAATTTGGGGAATTTGAGTGAGGCTAGTTGAGGCAAATATCACGGGGTTATTCCAACCTTAGTTAGAGCAAAGTAATGAAATGAAGGTTCTTCTGGTATTATGAGCTGTGGCCCCGGTCAGTAGGAAAAGTACTCTTCAGATACACCCATAACCTATGTCATTTTTCCATGGAGTGCCTAAGGCACAAGGTTAAGTTTTGTGTTCCTGTCCCAGAAACTCTTTGAACCGAACAGTTGCAGCAGCATTTCAGTGACACTGCTGGCATTTGGCAGCCTCCAGAAATGGGGGCTGCAATTTAGGAATGACGCCAGGTTTACTCCAGGCTTGTCATGCTGACTGAACATTTGACAACCACTTGCTCTTGAATGCAAGTATGTTATGAATTTGAAGCCTCCTAGTTTTCAGTAGCATATGCAACATCATGCCACTGGCACAATTGGCTTTTATTATCCGTTACAAATTAAGCTGCACTGAAATATTTAATAAAACATTTCTCTGCAAGCTACATTTGAGGTAAAACCTTTTATGGGAGTGGATAAGGAGTTCCCACTGTGACTGGCTAATGGAAGTAAAGCCAATCCAGAAAAGCAGCTACTGCACCAGAGAAAAGACAGGGAGACTGCTTCAGAGCTGTTCCAGTTTAGGGTCAGCTTGCCAAAAGGGGACTGGGAAGGACAAGACACAGGGGCAATCAGGGTCTGTTTCCAGTACTTGCTAGCAGAGCTGGCCAACCACTCACGGGCTAGGGACAGACATTACACATAAACTGGTTTAAATGATCAGAAACTGGTTTAAACCTGCAACAGAACAGATGTTCAGTGCACATAAACCAGTTTGAGAATGGCTGAAACTGGTTTGAGATAAACCTGGTTGAATGTAACACCAGATTTAACCGATTTGGTTCAAACCAGTTTATGCAATGTCTGTCCCAGACCCCTTGCTGGTTTAAGATAAACCAGAGACCCCCAGCATCCCGGCATGCTCTCTGGGCTGTGCTCTGGGCTCCGGCCCAGCCAGGCTGGCCCCTCCCCTCTGCTCCCCAGCCAGAGCAGGGACAGGCAGGGGCAGGGGTCTGGCTAGGAAGGAGTTTAAGTCCCCTCTCTATTCTACTGGCAGGGATCTGAGCCAGGTCTGCCCACCCTCACTGCAGCTCTCCCTTCCCCCTCGCAGGGGCCCTGCCTGGCTGTGCCCCCACCCTGCTACTGCAGAGGGAGGAGGCAGGGCCCTTGTTAGGGGCAGCAGCCCCTGTCATAATGTTGGGGAGCGAGCCCCTTCCCGGTGGGGGTGCTGCGCTGTGTGGCCAGCAGAGCCCTGCAAGCCCCCTGCAGCGCTGCCATGCTCCCCACCAGCTCTGCCTGCCCCGCAGAGTAGTCCCTGCCAGGAAGGGGCTCACGCTTTGTGTAGCAGTCATGGGCTGCTGCCCATCACCGTCACTTGCTCGCCGCTCCAGCTGCTGGGCAGACCCCTCTGGGCAGGAGGAGGCTTATTCAGCCACTGGCCCCGACCACAGGCCCAGCAGCAGGCAGGCCAGGCCAGGCAGACCCCAATACGGTGCCAGTGGCCAGCATCTGAATAAGCGTCCTCCTGCTGGGAGGGGG